ATGTGTGTGTGGCTGGGGTGGGGGTCAGTCACACAAGGCCCTGGTTATTTAGACCTTCTGTGGCTGATGACTATTGCAGACACTTTTTTGTTTTGTTTTATTAATCCTCACCTGAGGATATTTTTCCATTGATTTTTAGAGAGAGTGGGTGGAAGAGGATGGGGGGAGAGAGAGAGAGAGAGATTGGTTTCCTCCTGTAGGTGCCCGGACCAGGGCCAGGGATCAGATCTGCAACCCAGTTATGTGCCCTGATTGGTTTCCTCCTGCAGGTGCCCGGACCACGGCCAGGGATCAGATCTGCAACCCAGTTATGTGCCCTTGACCAGGGTGACCTTTTGGTGCATGGACTGAAGCTATAACCACTGAGCACCACCAGCCAGGGCTATTGCAGATGCTTTAGTAAAGATTCTAGGGCTCAGGGAGGCTGTGGTTATGTATGTGTTTTGAGGGAGGTTTTGGTATTAAAGACTCTTCACAACCCATTTGACCCTGTTGCCTTGGCCAGGTGGGTCAGAGACCACCCTTAACCTTAAGCTCTCCTTCCTCTAGTCCTGCTTGAGTGAACTGCCATTCCTCTCAATTGAATTTAGAACTTTCCAGTCATTCTGGATTCATATTTAAAAAACCTATGATGCAATTTTTATTTTAAGAATTGGAACAGAGGAAAATAACATATGCTTGTATTAACAAGAGAAAACCATAGCAATTGCATCCACATATTATGGTTGGGTCTCAGATTCGATGAACTCTGGGATGAGATGGAAAACATAATAAGCTTGATTCTGAAAATTGAATAATCAGCATTCCATGTGGCTCCAATTGTAATGGATGGAAAGACATAAGCAAATAAAAGGATGGTTTGCTCGTAAACTCTTCTGAGACTGTCACCATAAAAGTGGATTTATCTCTTCAAACAATTGTCCATTGAACTGTGGAATAAGGAACACAACCTCCAAATCTGAAGTATCGCCATTTTAAGTCAAGTTTTGAAAAAACAAATCCAGACACTTTTAAATTTATAGGATTAATCTTCTGTCTTTCCGCCAATAACAAGAAAATTGAATCTGTAAAATTACGTTCGGTATATAATTTTCAGCTGTGTAATTACTGTTTAAAGATACATGTCTTCAATTTCTTCTGCCTTTTGAAACTCCAGTCCATTTCAAATCTTTTGTTAATAAGCAATTTAGTTCTCAGAGAATGGTTTCTTTGTGTTGGTAATTAAGTGTTATATTTACACAAAGGAAATAGTGAAATACAATCCCTTCCAAAAAGAACATTCTAAAATATTCCACTAAGCAGCGCAAAAGCGTGACCCTGCAGTGGCATAATTTCTTCTGGTGATGCCAACAAAACCTCCCTGATTCCTCTGAATGATATACCTGTTCCTTTTAGGTGTGATAATTGATGAAATATTGAAACAACTCAATAGCAATTGTGAAAGTGAATATACAGCAAAGTTTATCACTTGATACTTTGGCATTAGGTCTGGCCACTGTGGCATGGGTTTGCCTCTTAGGCAGCAAATACTTGCAGGGCAAATGTATTTTCTGCCCATTTAATATGGTTACTGATGTGAATTTTTTTCTACAGTGAAAAATGGTTATTAGTTAATATACTAGCAAACATGCATGGGGTACCCCCTGCCCATGTGACAGTAACTCTGCCTAGAGCTGCAGAAAACACAAGTCTGAGTAAAGGGGGCCCACCCTCACTGGGGTCCAGTCTGGTCAGGGAAATATGATGAATAGAATTTTGATAAGCAAAGGAGAAAGAATAGGTTCCAGCAGTGGGCATTGGGGTGGCAGGGGACAGAGGCTTGGAGGGAGGAAATGCAAGGCATGTTTAGGAAAGAGAAATATGTATGTGATTATCATCATATTTATTATACACCAAGCACAGTGCTAAATGTTTTATTTGCAATCCTATATAATAAAACCCTAATATGCAAACGAAGGACTGGTCCCTATGATGAGCACTGACCACCAGGGGGCAGATGCTCAATGCGGAGCTGCCCCCTGGTGGTCAGTGCGCTCCCTCAGGGGGAGCACTGCTCAGCCAGAAGCTGGGCAGGCAGACATGCCCCAGGGGTCCCGGACTGTAAGGGGAGCAGGCTGGGCTGAGGGACCCCCCCTCTCCAGTGCACGAATGTCGGGCACCGGGCCTCTAGTATGTCATAAAGACCCACTCATCCTAGTCTGGGTGGGATTTTCCTGCGTGAGCACTGAAAACCCTGCATACCAGGAGGCCTCTCAGTCCTGGACCAACTGGGACTGTTGGTTACTGGACATGCATTCCTTAGGACTTTATGAGATCTAGGCTACTATCATTCTCAGTTTACACATGAGGGCAAGGAAGTTCAGGAGGCAGAGGAATGCGTCTCAGATTGCATAGTTGCTAATACATGGGGAGCTGAGATATGCAACAGAGTGCTCTGAACTACTGGTGCGAGACATGAATCCTTAAGGCTAAAAGGGTGCATTGGCATGGCACAGTTCCAGGCGGCAAAACAAAGAAAAGGAAGTTGGTACAAAACTGTGGTGGAATCCAAGTTCAAGGATTTTTCCTGTGGGCATTGGAAAGTCGTGGAAACTTCCTAGGTAGCAGAACATCATGGTGGAAGCATTCCTGACTAATTTGATATTCGTGGCAAAAAAGCAATTCGTTCAAATAACGTTTCGTCCCACCACGTCTTCTTATCTCTAGACATCTACAAATCACCCCCTCAGGCTGCTGCTCCCAAACCCTAAACAAATCAAAGAGAGTATATGGAAGATCAAAGGAATATGTCCTATTTCTAATCCATTTCAAGCTTTTTTTCCCCCTTCACTTGTTAATATTTTCCCCCATGTTTTTCTTGCTAGCAGAAACTAGAAACACTTGAAAGGTTGTAAGCAGCTTTGCTTAAACACATTTCTTCTCAAGTCTATCATGTCTCAAATCTCATTTCCTTAAAGAAATAACGGGTAGAAGAGGTGCCGGGTCTCGGCTTCTCTCTGAGCGATGAGAACAGAGCAGGGCAAAGAAATGTGTGTGTGGCTTGATTTAGAGTCTGTGTGTGTGTGTGCACATCTTTTGTCATTTTACCAATTTCCTGTGAGGCTGCTTATGCCCTTTTATTGCCTTTTATTCTGAACTGTTATGTGGTTTATTTGAGAGGATGGTGGCTGGGATCGACACATGCTATCTGTTGAGATGTATGCCATCTGAGGTCAGCATAATGCCATGGTCTGGTTAGTACAAGTCAGCCACACAGAGAAAAGCCCATTCAGGGGGGAAGGTGGTGATTTTCAAGAAGTGCCTCTCCCTATTTGATTCAAAGAGATATGTTATGCAGAAACCTGAGACAGCAAGCCTTTGTGCTGGAAAGATCCATTTAGCTGCATTTCATAATGTTTCCTGCCAAGTCACTAGGTCCTTACACTCCTAAACTTTTTCAAAATTGAAAATCATTGCCTTTGCAAGAACAACCCATCCTTCTCTAGGAGGTCCCATCCAGTTGGTCAGAACACTTTTCTGGGAGTTTGATGATAAATTATATCAAGAAATTAAACAGAAACGCAATTAGCAATGTTGACAACATTCTCACATACATGAAATATTTAATGAAAAACAGGAGCTAGGGAGTTGAATTTGCACACAAAGGACCTATGTAACATGGATATTCTCTGAAAAGTTAAAGTCAGTGGTGCATAGCTATCTCATCCACTGATTAAAGAAGATTTGATTTATTTAAGGAAAAGGGGATGGGAGATGGGGATATTCAAAGGGAATGGATACAAGGATAAAAAGGGGCCTTGAAGACAGGCTCAAGGGGTTTGCCCGGGATGAGCTGCCATTGCTCATTGCTCCCCTGGTTGCAAGTCTCATGAGGTCCCTTAGAAGTTGGGGGTATGTGCCTGTGGGGCAATGGCTATGGCATGCTCCTTGGTGGGAGAGCCTGCACTGTTCTGAGAATATTTGTCTCTCTTGCTGGTGGAAATCGTAGGGGAGGTCTCAGGTGTGCTCTTTAAAGGTTGTGCTCTCCACTGATTGGTCAGTGCCAGGGCCGGGGTGGGGGTGGTGGGGGGATCATTAGACAATGTAGCTGGTCCGAAGGCAGCCAGGTGCCACTTGTCTAGTTTTGCTGCTTTTCTGGGCCTGGAGCTGAAATACAAGCTAGGCCTCAATGTTATCTTTAGGAAGGAAAAGGTCATGGAGTTTAAACCGCCTGACCAGTGATATGCTAGGGGAAGATAGGTTACCCTGGAGGTGAGGTTCTTGTTTTTCCAGTTTTGCCCCTTGCTCTGCATCCAGGGCTTTCTGCCGTGGTGAGTTTCTGTACCTGGCCTATTGTCCTTGCTCTGGGGGCCTAACATTCTCTGAATGCAAATGCAAGTTGTTGTTTTTTCTTGGCAAATACCCAAGATCTATCCTTTGTTTTGCTTTTAGTGACAGGGAAACATTCATTTCATTATTTCATGTCTCAGTTGAAGTCACCCAGAATGGGATATTCGAGCTATTTTAGGAGTCCAGGTGTGGTAGGCTTTGGGAATAGCACCAGTTGTCTGATGTGGTCACACCAAACAGGGGTTCAGCAACCTCAGTACTTGGGTTCTGGCTAGGAAAGAATTCAGAGCAAGACCCAAACTGTAGGAGAACATTTATTTGGTAAATTACAGAGGTAAAAGAAGTAATTCCTAGAAGAAATGGGCTTAGGAAACAAGTTATGGAGATAAAGGAAGGGCCCTTGGAGCTTGGTAGTGAGGAAGCTAATGGTAACATACCTGAGGGGTGGGTGATTGAAAGGCACAGGTGCGCTCCCTGGAAGGAGAGCGCACTGGGTCCTCCATCCTAAGGGTTTAAGAGTGGAGATTTTAGGGGAGGCCCCAGGGGAAAGATCTTAATAGAATATTCTGTAGCTTCCCAGGTGTGTCCATTCAGGGTTGTGGTCTCCACTGATTGATTGGTGGCACCAGGGCAGGGGGTCATTATCCAATGCAGCTGGTCCTGACGTCAGCCATGGCTGGTTTTGTTGCTTATCTGGGGCTGGAGCTAAAATACAACAGAGGCTACATGTTATTTCTAGGGAGGAAAGGTCAAGGGGTCCAAACCTCATGACCAGTGATATGCTAGGGGAGGAAAGTCGCCCTGGGGGCGAAGTCCCATGCTATAATTGATTGTCCCTTGCTAGGCACCTGGGGCTTTCCAGGCTGATGACCATCTGTACCTGGCTCATCGTCCTTGCTCTGCTCAGGTCTATGTAACTGCCTACAGCATAGGGACAGTCTGAATATGGAAGCAGATGGGTGGAACCAGCTCAAATGGTTGGGACCATGTGTACCAAGGAGTTGGAGGTGTGAATGGCCAAATGAATCCTTACTCTTCAATGGATGAGTCTGTCAAATTAAAAAAGAAGGTGGTTTCTGCTAAACACAAGTATAGGCAGCTGAAGGAATTGTTCAAAACGGAGACAGTTCAGAGTCCTGCTTTGAGTACCTCTCGCCCTCCGTTTTAAGTCAGCTGGACCATTCTATAGAGGTAAGAAGAATGCCAGGTTCTCTACCCTGGCTGTATGTTAAAGTCACTAATGCTCTGTGTCTAATCACAACAGACCAATTAAATTAACATTAGGTTATGGAAAAATCCAGACATCTGTGTATTTTTATATGCCTACAGTCAGGAGTCCTATCAGGACTCAGAAACCAGAACCAAAAAACTTAATAATTTTAACAAGTTAATCAGTTATTGAGAATTTGGGAAGCAGCTATTACCTCTAAGGGTGGGGAAAACAAAGGAATGAAGTCAGGGCTAGGGGCCCTGCAGAGCTGAGACCCTGGCTTCTGGGCAGTGTGCTGCCAGCTTTTGCTGGTGTCTGACCTCAGGGGAAGGACTTCCTAGAGCCGATAGGACCCAGATTTCAGAGGAACAGGCTTGCTAGAATTTACTTGTACCTCAGATGCAAATGGTTCTGGGATTGTGGCAAAACTAGAAACTAAAACCAACTTCCTACTGGAACTAACTAGTAGGGCCAGGATGACACTGATAGAAAGAGCAATGGAACAGGGTGGAGAAAAAGCCCTTCTCCATATTCTTGGAACTAACTGGTAGGGCCAGGGTGACACTGATAGAGAAATGGAACAGGGTGGAGAAAAAGCCCTTCTCCATATTCCAGTTTTCTCTAGTGCCCTCTATTGTCAGAGCTGGTAAAGGAGAAATGCTGTTGGCACAGTTCCAACACTAGCATTTCAAAGCAGTACATGGAAGGGTAGATTTCAAGTAAAAAACGTGAATTAATAACCAGCACTGTGCCCCCAGGTGGTCTGTTGGACAGGCAGGGTTAAATACTGAAAGCTATGATTTAGGACTCTCCTTGGGGCATTCCTGGTTTGCTTTTGTCGTCCCCAGTCAGTTCAACCTGCCTATGATCATCAGCCTGCTCCTTCGGTCTTCTAGTTTACCTTTGGACTGAATGGACTCTTGACCTTTGGGTTCCCACAGTTATAGCTTAGATTTGGCCCAGGGATTCTTCCAGCATTAAAGACTATGGCCCTATAGGACCCAAGGCTAGGCACTTAGAAGGCAGATATTGCACTATGATGTCCATGGAGTTTGTTTGGCTCATAACTTCAGGGACTATATTTTATTAGAAGAAGCTAGTTCTGGTGGTCCAGCACCACTTTGTGTTGATGGGCAGTCCCAATAGTGGTCTGCTGCCATTGGCCATGGTGAGAATCTACAAAGGAAAATCTGTTATCCTGTGGTGTGTGGTTGAAAAAAACATGAGCTTTTATGCCTCTGTTTTTTTTTCCTCTGGAAAGTCTAGTTGGATTCTCTTTATTAGTTGTGGGGTTCATCACTTACAAAATACCCAACCAGTTAAATCAGAAGAGAAATAAAGCTAGTCCTTATCATGAAGACCTTCTATGTACATGGAAACACTATAAATCCTGATTCAAATCATTAGAATGAGTGTCAGCAGACTTCAGTTGCTGGTTTAAATGTTTATTCAGCACCTACCATGATCTAGGTAGTGTTCTAGGAAATGGAAGTACAGCAATGAATCAAGCATGTTATTGTCCTCATGGAGGTTACATCTTGAGAAGAGGGAAAATAGTGTATAATGCACCAGATGGTATATTAGTTATGTATTACTGTGGAACTAATTATGTCAAATTTAGACCTTAAAACAACAACAGTTTATTATCTCACAATTCCTGAGAATCAGAGCCTGGGAGCAGAGCAGGTGTGGGGTTCTGGCTTTTGCTCTTTCATGGGGTTGTAATCCAGTTGCCATGAGGCTTGCAGTCTCATCTGGAGATATGTCTGGCTTTTGGTTCTGGCTTTTGCTCTTTCGTGAGGCTTGCAGTCTCATCTGGAGATATGTCTGGCTTTGGGGGATCTGCTGCCAAGTTCATTCATGTGGCATTATCATGAGGCATGTGGACCTCTCCAAGAGCTGCTCACAACTTAGATGGCTCACTCTGGGGAAAGCCAGCTGCTAAGAAAAAGAGAGTGATCAAGATGGAAGCCTTTATAACCTAATCTTGGAAGTGACATATTGTGGCGTCTGTCATACTCTATTATTCCTAACCCTGATAAAATGTGGAGGAGGACCATGCAAGGGCATGGATACCAAGATCCAGGGATTTTTCAGGGCTGTCTGGGAGGCTGGCTATCATGAATGGTATTACACTCCATGGAGAAAACAAAGCAGAGTAGGAGGGCATGGGTTGGGAGTTACCATTGCTCTTAATACAGATGGTCAGAGAGGACTTCACTGATACATATCAGGGGCCTAAAGGGTAGCTTTATGACTTGCTTTTTAAAGAATTCCTTTTCCAGAAAGACTTCCCTCAGCTCCTGTCCCACCCCTCTTGTTCACTGAGAACTCCTACTGTGCGCACCCAGAATACCCACACTTACTCTCTAAATCACTCTGTGGTGTCTTCTTTCTTTCTCATCCACTAGAGCAGTGATGGCGAACCTATGACACACGTGTCAGAGGTGACACGCGAACTCATTTTTTTTGGTTGATTTTTCTTTGTTAAATGGCATTTAAATATATAAAATAAATATCAAAAATATAAGTTATTCATCTTTGTAAGTCCAGTAAAAGATCAGTAAATGCTTGATGAATGAATGACATGCATACATGAATTTACTTTCTCTACAGTCTCTTTTAAGGAATTTAGCTTGAACTACTCTTTAACATTATGTTTTTTTAATTAAACATCAATTATCTTTTGCCTAAAACAAAAAATCCTTGAACATGGGTTCATATTGCCACTCTAAGCATATAAATGTACCCCTCTGCTCAATTGCATTGCCTGCGGATACTGTTAGTTTATGAAGCACCATATGGAACAAAAATATGTGGCAACTTATTGAATGGGAACATTTTGTGAGAAAAATATTTTTGTTTCCATGCAGCAACGTTTCTATTAAATAGCTTCTAAATATGTAAAAAGAAAAAAAAAACCTCAGAGTGGCAATAGAATACCCTAAGGAGTCTAGAAAGCATGCAAAACAGCAATATTATTTTATAATGAAAACCAGATATGAGTGATATTATTTCTTCATACCCTTTCTTTTGGCAATCATTTATTTCTAAATATATGTCCCTTGTCTGTAAATCACATGCTGTGACTCACCCACAGCCCAGGGGCAAAGGCACCCACTTATACAAAAGGACAATTGGTCACTCACAGAAATATGTGTCTTGTGTTTGGGAACTAAACTGTCATTCCAACATCAGCAGTCTCTCCTCCTGTGTGTGACTCCAGAGGTCTAGTTTGGCATCTAGTTTAGGATTGTTTCCAAATTTCAGCCCTGAGAACTCAAAGCACCAAAGCCCCGGAAACTATAATGTGCATAGGAGTCACATAGGTATTTTGTTAAATGCAGGTTTTGATTCAGAAGGTCTGGGGTAGAGCCTAAGAGTTAACATTTCTAGCCAACTCCTGGGTGATTCTTTGGGGCTGGTCCTCATATCATGCGTTGAGTAGTAAGTTATCAAAGTAGGTCCAGAGAGTCCAAACTTTACCTGCCTGCCTGCCTATGTCTGTAGATAGTTTGAGATTTCCTTTTTTCCCTCTTTTTAAAAAATCATCCTAATGAGAAACTCTATGATAGTCACGAAGCAAATTTATTTTATTGATTTGCAAAGTTTTTAAGCCATTTTTTTCTCTAAAAGATAATTTATATTTTGGATCTCTGTTCCTTCGAAAGTTTATTTTGAAAAACAACATGTTCTACCGGTACATTTTTGTCTAAACAAGTGCCAATGCCAAGCAATCTACCAAACTAAATCCTTACTTCCATGTCAGATGTTCTGCGTTTCATGCATTTCCAAATTGGAAATGGGGAGTGGGGGAGAGAGAATCATTAAAAATTATGTTGATTATCCCAGATAAAATTCCAGGTCAGCACCTTTCTCTACTGTTCCAGCCACATAGGAGGAACTGGGGGTTTCACCTATGATGTATTTTGTTTTTATTATTTTAAGAATTATTATTCTCATATTTTAAACTTTTATCATTTTAAATTTTGTAACTTTAAAATAAATAATTTTTGATGTGACACTGATCTATCTATACTCAAAGTAGTTCATAGACTGTTAAGGGATATTCACTAGTCTTTGGTCTATGTATATTCAAATTGTCTTTTCAAGATATACAACATGTTGCCAGGAAGTATTGGCTTTTGTTTCGTTTCAAAGGCTTATCAAAGTGCAAAAATGTACCAGAATGAGTAGGAGCTCCCCTAACTGTATCTCTTAAGCATCTCACCCAACCTCTAGAGTCCTTACCCTGGTCTAAGTAAGAAGATAGCACCTGTGCCCAGGAGGCCTTGAAGCCCACTAACTAGGTCTCTGTAGCAGCCAAGCCCAGCTCTGCATTTTCCCATAAACTACCAGCCATGTGTCATATTGGTCCCCAACTCAACATGTCTCACAGTTCTCAAGGCACATATATTTCACAGACAACTCACAGGGTGGATTTGGATATTTTTAAATGTCTATACTTAGTAATTTTGGAGTAATCACAGATTTTCCCATCTTGAGTTTTGAGCCTCAGTGCTACCTCAAAGATATTGAGTACTTCTGACTTCTGAATACCAAAAAAGGCAATAACAAGGAAACCCAACAGATTCCTCTTCTGTTTTATATGTTGGAATGCAATATTTAAAATATACCCACTCTGTACCATGTAAAGAGGACCAGAAGTCAGAAGACCCAGACCCTATGTTTAGCAATCCCTTAGTCACCATCTACATCTGATTAGCTTGGGACACTGCTCATTGCCTCTCTGGGACTCAGTTTCCTCATTTGGGAACATGGACCAACAGAGCTTTTGTGAAGAGCGAACAAAGCAATAAAGTCTTACTTTGGGCCTAAATGCAATGCATCTCTCTAAGCCTGTGCTTAGAGAGGGGACAGGAAGAGAATGATGGTTAGGATGAGGAGAAAACAGTCAAGAATTCTCTGTAGCCTAGAGCATGGTAGAACCTGCAGGGACAGTCCCATAACTTTCCCAAGGATCATCCTGTCCTGGGAAAGGGCTTGAATGATCCTGCAGAAAAATTTGACCCTTTTCCTGTTCCCCATTAGGAAAGTTGCTGTCATCAAAAGTGGAATCTTTGGGAAAACGAAGGGTGTTTGCCATGTTAACGTTTTGTTCTTTCCCAGCAGGGCCCATGAGAAGACCATCTCAGAATATACCTCGTGGGAATAGAGCAGAGAGCCTTCCTGAACTGATAGCCTGGGAGCAAGCAGGACATCAAAAGCTGGCTTAAGTGAACCCATGACTCATGGTAATTGGAATCACATCATTTGGCTATATAAGACTTTTTTTTTCTTTGTTCAACATAATTTCAACCTGAAGAGGCAGCATGGAGGAACAGAAATAGAGCATACAAAAGAGTCTGGCTTAATCCCTGCCCTGTCGTTTAGAAACTGAGTGGATTCAGTTTTGTCACAGGTAAAATGGATGAGATTTGAACAGGTCAATAATAAATGCTTTTCTCCTCCTTCAATTAAAATAGACATGAGTCAAATTGGGGTGGGGGTCCCCAACATCAGCTTAATAACTGGTGCATCTTGATTTGGGAATCAAGAGCCATTCATTCCTAATATTTCTAATATTTTGCCCTTTCCAAAAACTGAACTAAATTCAGACAAAATAGCTAGAAAGTCATAACCATCTGTCTTCCCCAAAGGTCACTCTTGGCAACAAAGAAGAGATAATGGAGATTAGACAGAGCATGACATCACTTCAAAAACAAGAGGAGGAAGAGGGGACTCGATGACCTCAAATCACCTGGGAAAAGAACAGTGAGCCAGTGGGTGCGCAGACCCTTGGGTACTCCACCAATCGTAAAATGGAACAGGTTTTCCTGGGGGTGGATTTGGCTATATAAGACTTTTTTTTCTTTGTTCAACATAATTTCAACCTGAAGAGGCAGCATGGAGGAACAGAAATAGAGCATACAAAAGAGTCTGGTTTAATCCCTGCCCTGTCATTTAGAAACTGAGTGGATTCAGTTTTGTCATAGGTAAAATGGACGAGATTTGAACAGGTCAATAATAAATGCTTTTCTCCTCCTTCAATTAAAATAGACATGAGTCAAATTGGGGTGGGGGTCCCCAACATCAGCTTAATAACTGGTGCATCTTGATTTGGGAATCAAGAGCCATTCATTCCTAATATTTCTAATATTTTGCCCTTTCCAAAAACTGAACTAAATTCAGACAAAATAGCTAGAAAGTCATAACCATCTGTCTTCCCCAAAGGTCACTCTTGGCAACAAAGAAGAGATAATGGAGATTAGACAGAGCATGACATCACTTCAAAAACAAGAGGAGGAAGAGGGGACTCGATGACCTCAAATCACCTGGGAAAAGAACAGTGAGCCAGTGGGTGCGCAGACCCTTGGGTACTCCACCAATCGTAAAATGGAACAGGTTTTCCTGGGGGTGGGAGTATGACATTGAGTCTGGGAGGGTCTGTGATAGAAACCTGAAACTATAAGGACAGAGGAAGAGGTCCCTCAATCAGATACTGCCACCTCCTTCTTGTAGTTGGTGAAATAATCAAATGAGATCAGTAAGTGGTGCATCAATCAGAGAGCCAGTGACCATTTGTGGTTATTTTCTTTCCTTCCATCTTCTTTCCCCAAAACCTACCCCCACCCTAACCTATTTTGGAAATGAACAAGGCCAAGTTCTGTAGCAGCTCCCCTAAGACATTTTCCCCAGGGCAACACTGTCTACCTCACTCTGCTGCTATGGGCCCTGTGTCCTGCCCAGCTGGGCATTTGCTGGACAGAAGAGTCCTGGCTGGGTGATAGTTTTCCAGCAGGAAATGTTTAGGCAGAGAAATCACACATTCTCTTCCCTCTCAGATTCCTTGACTGGGTCCTTTTTAATAAAGGTCAGCATTTTCTAGCTGTGGTTCCTTCCTCTTTTCTTATTTCCTTTTTCCTGTCCTCTCTGGATGATGCCACATCTTCAACTATACAGACTTTGATTTGGCTCACATCTCCAGCTGCCATACGCCCACTTGGATTCCCTTTGAACATCACAAAGGTAACTCACTTTCTTATCTCCCTTCCCTCAAACGCTTCTCCAGCTCTCGTTTTCTACTCACGCTCCCTAACAAAAATCTTAACGTTACTCTCAGTTGCCAATTCTTTGCTACTCCCCACATTGAAGAGATGCTCAATTACATTAGTGTCTTACATCTGGCCTCTTCTCTCCATCGTGGCTATCCATCCCTGCCTTAGACTACATCCTCATCTTTCACCTGCCTCCTTGCACTGACCTCATAAATATCTCCCAGCTACGAATGTCAGTCCTCCAGTATATTCTTGACCCTCATTCACAGGTAAGGTCATTTGCAAAAATCTCTCTCTCTCTCTCTCTCTCTCTCTCTCTCTCTCTCACACACACACACACACACACACACACACACACACACACTCCCACATAACTTTCAAAACATTCTTGACTCCCTTCACCCAGTCCTCTGAGTCCGAACTTCTTAGAATGACCTGCAAGCCCACTAGTGTCCAGTACCTACTGCCTTGTCTCCCATTCATCCATCCTCCAAGCCTTAGAAGCCGATGGTACTGAATTAATATTACCATCTCCAGAAGAGTCCATGACCTTTACCACTTCTCTGTTTATGCCCCTTCTGTGCTCTCAGGTTGAATGTCCTCCCCCAATACACACACCTATTCCCTGGCTTGTAAACCTATTTTTTCTTTAAGGATAATCTCAGATGTCCCTACTTTAGCAAAGCCATCCTTGCCTTTCCTGCTTGTTAGTTAGGTCCCTTCTGAGGGTCCTCAGTATTTAACTGCTGTTTTGGAGTTATGCATAATCAAATTGTAGGTAATCCATTGAACTTATGAGTCTCCCACTTATAATGGTAGCTTCTTGATAACAGAAATTTTTTAAATATATTTTCAGCATCTAGATATTGGCCCCCTCTTAGATTCAATCTCTGTGCCCTTTATTGCATGCAGAGATAAATAGAAGCATGAAGACTGGTTTGTGGTAGTGGGATAAAGCATTCCCATTAACCACAGGTCTGGGAATCAAGAAACACAGCCCCAGACACGGTGTGGCCTCTACTTGGCCCTGTGAACTTAGACACCCCTCCTCCAAGATGTGTTTGGTTCTTTAGTCTGAACAATGGCCAGATGAGAAATTAAGAAATTACTTGTTTCAGAGTATTTTCATGTCTAATGTGTAAGTTGAATATAATAAAAGATGTCACTGTTACTAGCATGAACTAGACCAGTGGTTCTCAACCTTGGCTGCACATTAGAATCACCTGGGAATCTTTTTAAAATCCTGATTTCTAGGCCTCATCCTCCGGAAATTCTGTTTCTTTGTTATGGGGTGAGGCCACAACATTAGTAACAAAGAAACAGAATTTCCAGAGGATGAGGCCCAGAAATCAGGATTTTAAAAAGATTCCCAGGTGATTCTAATGTGCAGCCAAGGTTGAGAACCACTGAACTAGACTTTCTGGCTTAAATAGGGTGACCCTTTTATCTTAGCTATTTTGTAATAAATGAGTGAAAAGATGATACAGATGCAAAAGATTTAAATTAAACATACAGAACTCAATTAATAGTTAGTTGCATCCTGATTTTATACCTGGAGTTACTTAGCTGTTTTTCTTTTCATAAATCTTTACTTTAAAGTCAGACCCCTCCCAGAATGTGACTTCAGACCAGCTTGTCTTCAAAACTCCCCCTAACATTTTGAGAAAGAGGACAATTTACACTGCTGTGGTTAGAACTCCCATCTATATTAGAATAATTTTAAATACAGAAAACTATGCACTGAGAGTTCATCACAGTATATTTTCTACAAGAGGGGAAAAAATGGAAACACCCAAAATGTCCAACAAGAGGGCAATGGTGAAATGAATTATAGTGTTTTGTGGGATGGAGAACAATGCAGCCACTGTATATCATGTTGCAAGGCTTTGTAGCTACTTGGGGAAGCATTTGTGTTAAAACATTACATGAAAAGGCAAGGTAAAGAGCATGTATACAATATGAGCACAAGAAACTAAGAAGCACAGCTGTGTCATAGCCCTTGCTTGTACTTACCCTCTGCCAGTGGAAAAATGGTGGAGGTCACCTTGGTTGCAGGAATGGGAACCTCTTCCACCAAGAACTTTTCATCCTCAGAACTTTCTCTGCCAATTGGCCCTGTGGGGAAAAGATTTCAATACTCTCATATTCCCAGTCCTACTTCAGTTCTCTGAACTTTTTTTTTAATAACTTATGTTTGATTACCAAAGTAATATATGTTCACTAGGAAATCGCCCTAATTTTAAAGTTTATTAACCACGCCTGGTTTGGAGTGAAATTGGAAAATGATTGTTTCTTCAGCAACCCGAACTGTTGGCAGCTTGCCTCCAAACAGAGTTTAGAATTATGTAACTCTGAGTTTAGCAGAAAAACTTTTCTAAAAGGGCCAACTTCTCTTCTAGAACCCATGGTATCAAAGCAGCTTTTAAGCAAATTATAATCCTATCATGCTGGTATTTCCAGAATACACCCTTGAAAGTGTGAGACGATTTATGGTTATTTTTAGTGCCTTGTAATGGGCAGTGAATTGTAGATAAACAAATGGAGTCTTCTCTCCCCTAAGAGGGCTGTTAGCGATTAATTACCATCTAGTGGTGAATCAGAAGAGAATAATCAAGGTGGGTAAGAAGAAGGTGGGGGCTGGGAGAAGGTCACCTTCTCAGAGAGGCAGGCAGTATGCTGGATGTGCTCACCTGACTGACCACCTCATCCATGAGGTCCTCACGGGTCTAAATAAATCTCTCCTGGGCCCTCATGTAGACAGGCTTTCACACGACCACAATCACCTGTCATGACACTCACAGACCCCAGGGCCTCACCACAAACCTACTGAATTGCAATCTCTGGGGTGAGGCTCAAGATTCTGTATCTTAACGAAGTGCCCCAGTCAGTCTCATGCACCCTTTTCAGGAGAGGAGTCTGAGGACGCATGTGGGAAATGGACCTGCCTAAGGTCACACTGCAGGGAGGTAGCAGAGTCTTCTGACCTCCAGGCCAGCCATTTTCAGTGGGGATACTGGGCCTTAGAAGGACAGACTTGTGTAAGAACAGAGGGATGGATTTGATGGTTACCCAGGCCAGAAACAAATCCTTGGTCTACCATCCCTCCAAAGTCTTCCTTGGTTCATAGCAATATTTCTGTGCAGTTTTTAGAGGAAACTAAAGAAGAAAATTGCAAAATAAAGCATAGTTTCTGCAAGCACATTTCTTAGAACAGTGCCTTTTACAATGTAATCCTTGAAGAAGGAATTACATAATTGAAGAGGTCACTGGATCCTTTTTCCCTGTTTTGAATAGCTTCAAGGAATCACTTGGGTGAGCCTATAAAAGCACTGAGATGTCTTGCAGTAAAGCAGCCTGTTTAGCTTTCCTCATTCTCATTTTTGAGTAACGAGTGCTCTTGAGAAATCATCTACTCATCCAGAAGTTTCTTACTCAAGTCCATGTCACAAGCAGTGGGCCGGCTGACATGATGGAAAAGGCACTCACCTTGGAGCCTAGAGACCTGAGTTTTGGATGCCTCTCTGACCCTTGCTAGTTTTGAGACCTTGGGAAAGTCTCTTGCCCCATTTTACCACTGAGGAACCTAAGACACACACCTCTTTCCTGTCACCTCTACTAGGTTGTTTGGAGGAACGCATGCAACTAACTGCCTGCAGAATAGATGGCACTCGCCTCCCCCCTCACAGGCTCATCACTCAGGAGATCTCCACCCCAGAGACCTCCTCCTGTCTTTAAGCACAAGACCTTGACAAGGTGACACCAGGAGTTGATTGTGACACAAATACGGCTTCTAAGAGTGACCAGCTAACCCTCAAATCACTGCAATACTTTCTCTTGTCATTCATGACAAATCCTCAAAACATTGACTGTAGTAGGTATTGACTCAAGGGTGGAACCTTTCTCACTGAATTACAGGTCAGGTGTTCACGTAATTGATTTTTCTTCTCTCGAGACATTGGTATTATTCACAGTCAGATGGCAGAGGATGGTACAGTTTCCCTTATTTTTCTGAGTCTATGTTCCAGTGGATTGTTCTATGCCCAAACACACTTCCATTAGTAACAGCCCCTCCTCCTCTTCCCTAAGGGAGGGACCCCATTGTAGAGAAGGGGGATAGAAGCATGAGCGGCTACACAACAACCTAAGGGAAATAGCCACTGATGTGTGGCTTTGGCTCTGGTGAAGTGTGACTCATCACTCACCTCTGTGCTCCCCACAGTGCTTGGCACTCTTCCTGCTACCTCCTCGTTGCTGGAGGAATATTTCTGAATGAATGGATGAGTGAACTCTGTCCTACAGCACCCCACATATTTCTCTGGTTTAATGGAGCCTCCATGAGCCATCTTTCTCACCCATGATAGACAACCCACTATCATGAAATTGAAAAGTTAATACAAGAAACTTATTAATACACTCAGAAAAACCAGGCAGTAGAGGTCCAACAATGAATAGAGCTTTTTTTTTTGACTCTCAGTGATCTCGCTGTGCATGCAGTAGGGGACATTCATTGAGCTGCAAGTATCTCAGGGTAAGGCCATGGCAACACGTGAATTTATTTTATTTCCCCCAATAGATTTTAAGATCCCAGAGGACAGGAACCATCCTCAATACCATCATCATCCTGTAAGCTCCATGAGGACAAGGATTTTTGTTTCCTGATGAGCTCCAAATATTCAAAAAAGGCTCCTGGCATGTAAGTGATGCTTTTAAATCCTCAGTGAACACTGAATGCTCATTATCAATACTAGAAGTTACTGTCTACTTACTTCCTTTCAGGCACCATGCCAAGTACTTTAGAGTCATTATTTCAAAAAATATAAACAAATAGGTATAGAAACATCCTACGTTGGTGAAGGCACATTTCATACCTAGGCAATCTGACTCCAAAGATCAAACTCTTACCTCCCTCTCCATTAAGCCATCCTCAGCCACCTCCAGTGACTCTCTTTGTTCCTCACAGTTCCTCATAGGACAAATAATAATGTCTGTCGAAAGAATGAGAGGACAAGGTTCCAAACCAAATTAAGAGCCCTGGGCTGTTGACTGTACCTGAGAGTTCTGATCATCAAGGAGCCAGCATTTCAACTGTCCAACACCAAACCAGGGTTAATAGAGAAATAGAAATAAGATTGACCAAATGAGTGTGCCAGTGTTAAGCCCTGCCCAGCCAGGTAGCTAACCATGTTTTATTGACAGGGAAATAAAGACTTCAGAGAGAAATATGATTCGCTCTGCCTTGTCTCTAAGAGAAAAATGAGTTAGGCCAGAGAAATAACAGCTCGCTTCCTCTTTTGAAGACAACAGTTTATCTCCAGAGATACTAACACAACCACGCACAGAGCAGGGCCACTGGTTCAACTACCACATGGACAGGGGTACAAGAGGCGTGATGAATGGGGGACAAGAGGGTCGGAGCTGCATGGTTTCTCAGGCCATGGAGATTGTCTTGAGCCCCCAGGAGGGATGGCCTGTACAGTGGGGCCTTGACTTACGAGGGTCCCGACTAACGAGTTTTTTGAGATACCAGCTGTCTCTCCGCCGATTTTTTGCATTGAGTTGACAGAGTAATTTGAGTTAACAGCTCCTTAATGAGCTCCTTTATGAGCTTGTTCTCAGAACGAATTAAACTCGTAAGTCAAGGCCCCACTGTATGTGCCTGAAATTATTCTGAGCGCTTTTTACTTGAAATTCAAACAGGCATATTCACGGGAAGTATATCTGGTGCCAAACAATTAGAAAAGCCTCCTGTTCTTACTGATTATATTTCATTCATTTCAATAAATATCTACTAGCCACCTACTCTGTGCCCCAGCCTGCATTCGATGTTTGTTTCTTTTACATCGGCATGGCAGGATTTATAGTTGCAAGCCTTGGAAACCAGGGTTCAGAGAACAGCCAGGAAGAGCAAGCATTTATTGAGTGCCAGGGACTGGGCAAAACAAGTCTGCACACATTATGGTTACAACAACCATTTAAGATACAGACTTTATCATCTCAATTTTACAGATAAGAAAACTGAGGCTTTGAGAGCTTATGTTTCCCTAAGTTGCACATATAGTGGGTGACAGAGTTGGTATTTAAACTAAGGAAGTCCTGTATCCTTGCTCTGAAATTCAAGGCTCTTCTGAATTCAGGGGTTAAATAATTAGCCCGACATCATGCGACTTGCCAGAGATGAAGCTCCACTCCTACCCAGAGCTCTTTCCTCTATCCCTGCCGCTTGAGGAAGTTATTTATTAATATTGGAAAGGCATTTATCATCTGATAAGAGAAACAAGACAAACATAATACAGAGCTAATATCACACCAAGGCCAAAGTCTGGCCTTCAGTCAATTAATAAGCCCTCCAGGCATAAATAGTGTGTTCAGAATAGAGAGAAAATCAATTGGCATTGCATCGCACTCTGCACAGACGTTTACTGAGAATTTCTATGCACTCATGCTTTACTCGCTTGGCAGAGGCATATCCTGCTCATGGACCACCACATGCTGCCCTCATATCCTTGCTCCTGTGCACTAGGCAGAGCCAGATGACTCATTTGGGACAACAGACTGGGAGGGGATGTGATATGTATCACTCTTGGGCCCAAACAAGAAGAGCACATGAAGTTTCTATGTTTCCCAGAAACATTCCAGGTTTGTGGAGGCTTTGTCAGCCTGGGTCCCTGAGTTTCTTTGGGGAGAAAGCTTTGTGCTGAACTGCACTGGATAAGTTTCATGGTGACGAAATACATCGATTATGTGTCAAGGCATTGCAATTAGAGGTGAATTTGTTACTGCAGCATAACTTGGCCTATCCTAACCAACGCAGCGGCCTGCTGTCATTTAAAAAGAGAACATACAAGGAAAGGTTGGGGGCACCGGGAGAGGATTATGCTAAGTGAAATAAGCTAGTTAGAGAAAGACAAATACCATATGATTTCACTTATATGTGGAAGCTAATAAAAATAAACTAACAATATAGAAACAGACTTATAGCTGTTAGAGAGGAGAGTGTAGGGGAGCTGGGTGAAAAAGATGAAAGGATTAAGAAAAAAAAACACCTCATAGACAGACAATAGTATGATCATTAACAGAGGGGAAGGGGAAGGCGGGGAGAGGCAGAAGATGGTAAA